CTGGTGTCTGCTCTGCCCAACTCCAGCAGAATTTGTGTGCTTCAGTCACCAGAAAGGGCGGCCCAGATGGGAGGATGGGAGGGGTGGCATGCTGTTCATTTCTTATTTCTGCGTTCCTTGTGTGTCACTGCATAGCACAGTGTCTGGAGTATAGTACATTCTTAGCAAAAATTACATTCAGTGAAATAAACTAAATTCTGTGCCAGTTCTACCACTAAATCACTGTGTGACTCTAGTTGATCCACTTACCTCTCCAGCCTTAGCGTCTTCTGTAAGGCAAGGATGAGAACAAAAGTAGCTACTTCAGGAATGGTGATTAATGTGAACCCACTTTGTATACTTTAAAAGCCCTATAAATAAGGCTGAAGATTAAAGATTTTTCTCCATATGGCTTCTTCTCAAATATTCCCAGATATTAACAGGTTGAAGGGGAAAAGCAGAGCCAGATTTTTCTTTCTCATTGATATTCATCTATTTTATTGTACTATTTCCTTTTTATTTTTGTTGTTTTTTACAATTTAGTATTTCTTCTCTTTCTGCCTCATTAATTTGAGTGTTCTACAGAACTTTTTCATTCTGTTAGTAGCTAACTTTTCCCCCCAACATTTGAAATTAAACATTTGTCGTCTATTGTATGAAAACAAGATAGCAATGTGTTCTATTTCTCTACTGCTCTCCCCCTCACTCCACTAAGTTGATACCTTTAGAAACTTTTACTTCACTCAATTTTCTTTCTTCTTCAACTTTTAGTAATTTTACTGCTAATTATTACCTTTTTCCCCTTGCAGTATGTCTCTTCTATTTCAAAGATTCTTATTTCGCACTTGTAAAACACATTTCTAGTTATTCTGTCATTAAATATTTAAGTTTAACTTAATATTGCTGAGTTTGTTATTCACCCTTGCTGCTTCTCTTTGTATTTCTAATTCATGTTTTGTTTGGTTAGAAGCCTTGCTGAAATATTTTCCTCTAGTATAGTGCATGGATGATATTTTCTCTAAATAACTGGAATCACTATCTTTCTGTCACACTGAAAATCACTACAGCATTGTAGCTAAAATCATGGTCTTTGGAGCTTGATTATCTGGGTT